ACGGATATAAATATTTGCTTTTAAAATAACTAATTTTATGACAATACCATACGAGGAAGTGACCGGAAGCTACTGGATATACTCTCTGTTAGGTGAGACATGAAAAACTTTTATTTTTAATTATTCTAGCGTCTCGACCGGATTGGCACCAGTTATCATAAGGGAGTGAATAAAATGGAAAACAACTGTTTCCGTCAATAATTACTTGACACGTTGGTGCAACACTTGACCGCTCGCTGGTTAGGAAATTAATAACCCCTCACGCGGTGGAAATGACCATTGAAACAAAGGGATGTTTACAAGCTGTCCTGTTTCTGTTGCCTGCGATGTGAAGTGAATCCTTGATTAGTAGCTTTATGTTGACTACCGTGTGGTACCTCTGGAGCCACTGTCTGCTTAAATGCCTCCTCCCCCCACCGCAATCCAAGTCGGAGGTGTAATACGTCGTGAAATCAAGTGTTGGAGGAGTTATGCGCCGCTTAAGGTTTTTCTGTTTTTAGATGAAACACTTTCGCTTCGACATCAGGATGCAAATTACTGCAAGCATGTAAAAAAAACATTAATTTCGTTTCATGCAAAATGGAACATTAAATGACGACCTGTTGGTAAAATCACAGAGGATACTTGCTTGAAGTAGCCATCAGTAAACTGCAGCTCGCCACGTCAAAGCCAAACCAGACATTCTGTTGGCAGAGAATCATTTCCGGTGCCCCGAAATGCGATGGCCACATTTCTGGCTCGGCATGAGGGTCGGCACGATTCAGGAACCTGACGAGGTAACTGAAGTAATTAATTTTGATCCAGCACGAATTTACCTCGTGTCCTCTCCATCCAGCTGTGAGCAGTGAGGTTCAACTTCAAAATCAGTCCCCTACTAGGGCTAAAACTTAGGCACAAAATTTTCATCCTAGAAACGGATGGCAGAATGACCGTAAAGTAGAACTGAAATAACTGACTGGTGGCCATCGCTTGTCTGCTGACATTTCCATGCGAAACCAGTTACTGGCTTTGCCAAGACGTGTCCAACATGGAAATTGGGTATATCAGGTTTCTGCATCCTATTTGAACTTATGCAAAACTTAGTGGTGATGGCTATCGAGTGTAAAACTTCGTCCGATATGACTTCCAGTCGTTCACAAATATGCACTATCCGTTTAAAAGAAATCCAACGAAAGCAAATTGCCAATGCTGTAGCATACCCTACTGATGGTACATTACAATACTTTATATAATTCGATATGTACCTCATTATAATTGAAATACACCCATAATGGTTACACTGATATTCGAAAGCAGCTTTTGGTGTAAATGGCAAAACGGGAACGAATCAAAGACCACGGTTACATACCACCTGTCCTAATGTAGTGTTTTTCAACAGTAACACTCTACAGTATAAAGTACGACATGCTAAGTTGCATTTAACTTCAGAAATTAGTGTCGCATCATCAGCAATCAGTCAAAATTTTCAGGTTCCTCAAATAATATATGTATCTAATACAAAAGCATTGCATTGCAAATGCACAATTGAACCACTGAAGTAGAAATAGCACACCATTGCCGTGTTCAGGTACAACTTTGAAAATTAGGAAACGCTGCGACTGCTCAATGATACAGTATCCCAAAACCAGCCTACGCCCTTATGTACTATTGAGTAAGTTCGTCTTCTATACAGCGAGAAAGAACTATCGTTCTAACATATAGTAAAGAGCCTTCTTTCGAGAGAAAAAACATCAACTCACCTCTCCCACCAAAACTGCTATGACCGAAACATTCAGATCGAAAACGAGTTTACGTACTATTAACAATTCTCACTGATTGCACCAATTTATCGCTACCGTTTTCACATTCGCGACTCTACATTAAGAACGAACTTCTTCGGCTAACAATAGCATAGCCCATAGTAACGTGCTCCTTTACCCCAACTGTTGATAAACCCTTACAACGGGTAAAGGGGGCTCAGCTTGTATTTGGTGAGCAGCATAACATACGGCTTAGAACTAAACTATGGCATATAGAAACAACACATACTGTACTATGGTGCTGCGCTACGAAATCACATCAAGTGTATCGTTTAAGCTCCACTTTAGCATATTGAATTTTGTGCATCGACAGCACCGTAATAAGTGTGAGAAAATACTTTTATAACTACTGCACTCTCGCCGTGAATAAAAACTTCGAATACAGCCAATTTCAACACCAGTGTTTTAATACCAGCGAGTTATCATTCATTATATATATATCAAGACTCATTAAGGAAACAACTTAACAATTGACAAATTCAAAATGGGACAAACGCTACACTAATTTTACGATGTTCTGCATTCGGCTTTTAGATGTCATTAGGGTCCGCTGGAGACTGCGTTTCTTTTTTAGCCGAAGGATGGTCAGCGGCACACAGGTTGATTTTCTAAAATGATCGATAATCATAGGCATATACATATATGTATCAAATGACTACGAAATACAGTTAGAGTGTAGAGAACAAGTACTTATATTAAACTTCTGGATACATTCATATCAGAAGCAGACTTAGCTTCACAGAAACATATTAAAAGATGCATTTAATCAGGGTTATAACGAATTTATGAATAGACCGTTTTATCGAAAAACACTATCATTGATATAGCTACATATCGAATAAGTAAATAATATTCAAAATTATGTCCATCAGTAAACTGCATGAAAATAAATAACATGAAAATAATAAATAAATAGAATTAAATATATCAGAAATGCAAGCTAAAAAATAACGATCCTATATCAACGATGCCGTTGTCGAGCCTATAGCCAGATGAGGAAGGAAGAAGTATGGCACAGTGTCGAGATGTTCAGTAAAACAGTCACGTACCGCTCATGACATTGCCGTTATCGAACGTAATAATGGCTAGGACGCCACCTGGATTATCAAAGG